CTCAAGTCCCTTGGGTCTAACACTGAATTACATGAGGGGTTTTCAAGATTCATGCTCACAAGTCTCGTATTATCAGTCTCCCTCATGCCGTCATTACTGGGCGTTATCATGTTCACAGGGCAATTAGGCAGCATGTTGGCATCAGAAATACCATATAAGTCAGCTGATGACATGGATGATGCATCAATTCTGCCTATGTCATTAGTACTGTTATAAATGCAAGCATTAGAAGCATTCAAATCATTCATTTCCAGGAATGGTGGGATACCCTGTGAATTAGAGGAAAGTGTCCCTGTTGAGAAACCACTCAGTGGATTTGTGTTGACTGAGCATGAGGTGGGGTGGGCCACTGAGGACCAGCTTGAAGAAGGCTGAGATACCATGGAGGACATGGCTGAAACACGAGGTGACAATGCACTTGAGATGGACACAGATGAGGAATAGTAGGATTCTGCTTGAGTTGCAACTCCTGAAGGCCTGGGTATTTCTGTCAAAACTGCACCAGGAGAAAACAAGTTTGATTCTGTGGGGGAGAAAATGTATTTTTACAAAACTGAAATGAACAAAATTATTAAAAGTACTATTTTTAAAAATTGCAAAAACACACTAATAAAAAAATTTTCAAGGAAACTGATGTAACATTTCAAATTAAAATGTTAAATAGTACTGAAATGTTTACATGAGCCCAAAACTGAATTCTGTTTTACAAATACCTATAAAATAACTTTGGTAAGCTATTTTGGCATAAATAATTTCACTCCAGTTAAATATGAAAATCTAGATTCTGAGGTCTATAAAGGTATTTTTGGAAAGTGAAAGACAGATACTAGAATTTCAGTTAATGGAACTCTAAATGGCCCCAAATCATTTCATATTCCCCATGTTTAGGAAAAACTGGAGAGATAGAGGAAACACTCATTAGGGATGATTGAAAAGTCCACATAACTTTCTAAGATATATTAAGATATAGCACTAGGGTACTACAAATTTCCAGTTAAGAAAAAAAATGAAAGATTCTGTGTTTATTTACACATTACATGACTGCTATACACACTACCAGGAAAAAGCACTGACATAAGACTGTAGGGGGAAAAGACCTTTAATTAACCCTGGTTGATGCATCTAAACCAGAAGTTCGTAACTTTTTCCCCCTCTTTTTAGGCTTTGTGGGCCATCCAGCCTCTGCTGGAGCTATTCAACTCTGCCGCTGTGGTGCAAAAAAAGCAGCCATAGGCAATATGTAATCAAATGAGCATGGCTGTGTTCCAGAAAAACTTTATTTATAAAGACAGGCTACTAGCCAGATCTAAACCATTTCTTCCACGGTACTATAATTAGTAAACTTATCACCATATAAACAAAATGTAATTTCTCAAACAATAAATTCCCAAAACACAGTTTCTAACAGGACCTTCAGGAACCGAGATAAATTCATTTAACATTCAAAGCATGAAAACATTTAAAGGAATGTAAAATATCAAAGAAACAGTTTTATTCCTAAGAACAGAATTCCAATATATTGTGTAAAGCACTGGTCTTTCTGGTCACAAGGAATACTCTATGGGGAATAAAATACCTTTTTTGATAAATCTTCCTTCTCCAGTTGATCCTAGAGGACCAGGTCTAGGTCTTTCAGGAAAATTTACTGCTGTGAAAAAGTTTTTCCATTATTAAATGTAATTTCAATAACATTATCAGTTAAAATTTGAAAAACTGAATAAAGCAAAAAACCCAAAATCTATTTGAATACAAATCAATCCAAGATATTCTTACCACAATCCTGCCACAGTTTCTGGAAAAGTAGAGATGTTTTTTGTTTCTTTGCTTTATTGCCATAAGTATCTGGTTAGAAAGAAACCAGGAAAACAAGTGAATCATATAGGATTATGCTTCATCTCTTTCAATAAATAAATAGGTGTTTTATTCCTATATAGAAAATGCTTTCAATAAATGTGTATAATATGGATTTAATAAGTGTTGCAGAGTATAATCTAGGTCAGTAGGAAAGGATATTTTTCTCTTAGTTAAAAATAGTTTCATATTCATCTTTTCTTAAAACAACTGTAAATCAACAATGTCAACTAATACATAAAGGGTAGAAAAGGGCCAAAATGGAGACCACTCTTTGACTGGCAAGTTTGCCATCTATAAAAAAGGCACAGTAAGGACTTAAAAACCCCTCAGATATATTAATAAAACAAATTTTGATAAACAGATACTTTGAAATTATTTCTGATTTCTTACCTAAGAAAGAGATGCAAAGAGCATAAAAGTCAGTCAAAAATCAAATGACAATTTTCAAGAAGAGAAACATAAATGAAGAAAACAATTATATTCCCACCTATATTACCAGAAAATGTTATTAGCAGGACTAACTTTAAGAAATACATAAAACAGGGCTGACCAAGTGGCTCAGTTGGTTAAGAGCACGAGCTCTGAGCAATAGGGTCACCGGTTCGATTCCCACATGGGCCAGTGAGCTGCGCCCCACCTGAGCTGCCACTGAGCTGCCAACAGGTGGCAGGATAGCTCAGCTAATGAGAGCACGTGGCTCCTAACAAGGTTGACGGTTCGACTCCCACATGGGATGGTGGGTTATGCCTACCCGCAACTAAGATTGAACATGGCACCTTGAGCTGATCTGCCCTGAGCTGCCAAGGGGCAGCCGGATGGCTCAGTGGTTAGAGTGTGCGCTCTTAGCAACAAGGTTTCCGGTTCAACTCCTGCATGGGATGTTGGGCTATTCCCACCCCCAACTAAAACTGAACACGGAACCTTGAGCTGAGTGGCCGTGAGCTGCAGGCGGGCGGCTGGATGGCAACTGGACTTGGAGCTGAGCTAGCTGTGCCCTCCACAACTAAGATCGAAAGACAACAACTTGGCTGTTCCCCTTCCCCAATTCCCCAATAAAATCTTAAAAAAAAAANAAGAGTGCAATGATCATACCAACATGGGCCAGTGAAGCGACGTCCTCCACAACTAGACTGAAGAACAAAAGGACAGCAACTTGTCTGTTCCCCTTCCCTAGATTCCCCAGCACTGTTCCCCTCCCCCAATGCCCCAATAAAATCTTTAAAAAATAAATAAATAAAATAAAATAAAAATAAACAATCACTCTGGCTACTTTGGGGAGAACAGACTATAGAAAGCACAAGGATATAAAGAGGTTTTTGAAGGCTATAGCTTCAATCCAGGCAAGAGATGATGGTGGCTTGGAATAGGATGTTAATAGCAGATGTCAAAAGAGGTGGTCAGCTTTGGATACATTCTGAAGGTACAGCGAACCAGATTTGCTGATGGATTTGGATATGGGACATAAGAGAAAGAAAAGAATCAAGGATGACTCTATGGTTTTGGACCTGAGCAACTAGAAGCATGGCATTGCCATTTACTGAGTTGGGGAAAGACTGAAAGAGAAACAAGTTTGAGAGGGAAAATCAAGGATATGTTGACTCTTGAGCTTTAATTAGGTTTCTAGGTAGAGACGTCAAATATGCAGTTTTACACACATGTGTAAACGCCAAATCTGGAGTGCAGGGGACAGGTCTAAGCCAGAGGTAAAACTTCAGAGCTGACAGACTGGATGAGATCACAGTGAATAAGGACACAGAAGAAAGACGAGAGGTCCAAAGAAACTTCTTCCTCTTAAAAACGTGGATCCAAACCTCAAATCATAAGCAATTTTAAAGGTATGGATTTAAATAGTCCAAAATGTAGAGAACCTCCCATACCTTGAAAGCATACGTCTATCTATTTTAGCATTTTAATGAAATTTTGATTTACATATAAATCTAAGAAACTCCAAGAAGCCTCAGAAAACCCCTTAGGGGTCACCTTGGCCCATGCGCCTCAAAAATAACACTATTTTTCCAATGACATAGCCATTACAGGGTCTACCTTAAATTTGCTTAAAAGCAAATATTAGTTAATTCATTAACTAAGAATATATTACTACATTACAAAAGAAATATAAAAAAACCTATTTGGAAAAACTGAAGCTTTGCTACAATGTTTTCTTCCTTGTTTTGGGAAAATGTGGTGGGACTCTAAAGAGAATTCGCACCGCACACAGTATCAGGTCACATGTTTCAAAAGAACAAACAGTAAAGCTCTTTTAAATTTCTATTTCAGAATTTTCTTCTTCTGAGTTTCCAATTTTGTATTCTACATACACAAAGTTGTTTTTTTAATGGGA